TATGGTGCCCAGAAGATATTGGATTCCCGCCAGAAGGAACATTTAAATGAAGTTCTGCTTGATTAAATGGCTTACAACAAGGAGCTATAGCTTCTCTCTCAGAACTGCAACAAACTCCAGTACAGGTTCTACAGCAACCGCCATCGTTTTTGTTGACGATGGCCGAAGCTGTAGCAGTGCATGGCAGGATAGGACGAGAAATCACACAATGGCTAGAAGGAAAGTGGCACCGACCCAATGGAAGATTTTCTCCAGTTACTGATGGGACGGATATAAACGAAGACCGACTAGATTGATCTTTCAGATGCAGATTCTGACCCTGAGGATGAGAGAATAAGGCTGGAGTTGATGGTTGGTGCCCGGGAACCTGCAACATTAGACAATTCGAGTTAGCTACAAACATAGCAGACTCTGTTGTAGGCTGCGATGCGGTAGCAGCTAACTGCTGTTGTGGTTGAAGTTGAGGTTGGCAAGTATGGCTGTAATTGTGGTGATGCTGATACAGCGAATGGGGCATTAGTGAATCGACGAGGCCAATATTAGTGATCTGATCATAGGATAAAAGATAAGGAGCGCCGGTAGCAGTAGTAGAGTCACACTGATTTCCAATCACGGGGTCAAATGCATCAGCGAAACAATCATCGAGACCAAGGCCTAGGAGCGCTGGAGCCAAGGGCAAGGGCCCTGGCTCGGACGCCAGTATTGATGGAATTGAGGGTGGTGGCGAAGGTGGGGAAGCAGAAGCTGCAGAAGGAGGGCGATCACGACGCCTTAAGAATGAGAAATATGAAAAAGAATTCATAAAAATGCCCGATTAATGTGAAGCAAAATAGTGTGCATTTTCAGGAGTAAAAAATCGTTAAACTTAGGGTTAGACTAAACTAAGCTCAAGTTTATAAAGAAAAAAGTACTTCACGAATAGATAAAGATATGTTATATATAAGCGTCAATGATTAGCTAATAGGAAAAATCTAAGTGACAACAGTAGCTGACCTACTGCAAGTATCAACGAGTGGTTAAAACCCACAAACTGTCCTGTAATGTTGCATAAATACTGTGGATTAACAATCTCGATGGGTTGAACCAAAGATTGCAATCTGATTTAAATATTTAGAGGCCCAAATTGGCATATATAAGAACTTTGCTGAGGCATTAGGCTCTGATAAGAGTAATGATAAATTCCTTAGAATCGCAGAGATGTTGTCAAATCTCACGCAGAATATAATGATAAGTGCAGTGAGGGGAAAATGGGAAACACCAATGGGGCTCATGAGGAA